GTTAGCTAGTGCAGCGTTAGCTAGTGCAGCAGCTCCCGCAACAACACCGGGGGACCTCCGGGCGACGTTTGGGTCTACGTCAACCCTAAAAGCGGAGGTGCTGTGGACGCTAAATACCGTAGCTAAACACCAATCATACAACAGCAACGATAGAAGATTGTAGCCAAGGCAATAGAGCTCTGACTTTAGCTCTCGACACACACACACACACACACACACACACACACACACACACACACACACAGCTCGACACATACCAAACTGCCCGATTATTACTCGTTTTATGAAGGAGATGTTCGGTCACCAAGGCGCATGATGTGTGTGTGCACCGGAACGAACGACACTATCATAATATCTTCTGAAAACAAATGCCAGTCTCACACACACACACACACACACACACACACACACACACACACACACACACACACACACACACACCCCCCTGGCAATCTCCTTCATAATGCGCCTTCTCCTCGTTTTCCCAGCATTCACTGGATTATCCGTAAATCATACAAACAAAACCAAAACGTTGATCTATCTGTTTTCCCATTTTGGTTTAAAAACAGAATAACGTTGGTTTTCAGTATTTCCGAAAAACACCGGTTCTTTCTTCTTTTTTTTTTAAACGTTATTAATATGTTTTGGATGCATATTGTTCTAGTATTTGTTCAGGCTGTTACATGTAATTAGTCTCTGTTGCTACCTGCTGGTCAGTAAATATTAAAATCAGTTCAAATTGACAACCGGTCCGCGATATTATTTTTTTATGTATCTGGCGGTCCTTGGCACAATAAAGGTTGGGAACCCCTGTTCTACAGTACAGGTTAGCTCTGAGTGTTAGCGAGGCTTGCTAATGTAAACATTAATTCCAAAACACGTCGGGCATTGTTTCTGATAGCAAAATTTGACGTCATATCTGCAGCAAATCTGTATCCGCTCGTTGTACCTCTGTTTTTAAAAGATAAGGGCCCTATGTGAACCATTTTGAGATCTGACTGGAAGATGTTTTTTTTGGTCTGATATTAAAGTCAGAACTCTGAGAACATTTCTGAATTCTGGGGAAAACGTTAGAATTCTGACTCTTTTTTCCTCAGGATTCTAAGTATTTGTATATCGTAAGAAAGCGTCACATTGAAGTGTTTTCCGTTATGTCTATGTAGTCTTTGCGGCATAACAAGTTAATTAGGTCTTCCCCTTAGAAATAGCCATACGTTCCCATTGATCTACTACATTATTAGAAAGGGACATATGGAACGCTTTCCTATAAAAGCGCGGATGCTCGTATACACCTGTTTTCTGTCCTGTATTTTTCAATGTGAATTGACGCATCAATGGTTTGTAACACTATGTGTACCAGTCAGCTGTTTGCTGGATGTGTAAAGAATGAGTAGAGATGAGAACATGTGCTGTAGGGCTAACACAGCGGTGAATAATTTAGCATCTCTTCTCGTATTTCACTGCCTTTAGGATCGGACTCCTTTTATGTGTATTACATTGTGTTTGTAATCGTGACACTGTGGATCCCGTTTCCTAGAAAAGTAGTTCTCAAAGTGGGTGACACGGTTCTCTGGGTTGCCTTGAGGATAGGCCAAAGGTGCCGTAAGATTTCACCTCATAAAAAGGGAAATGCAAATTGAAGTTCAGCCTATTAGGAAAGCTGTTTAAAACGTAGCTAATGACACTCACAGTTGGTGGTTGTCCTTGAAATACAACACACTCTCCGGCTCAGGAGTTTTTCAGGAGCTCAGCAACAAAAAGTGACCGTGAGTAGTGAAGTGAATTTAGCCATTTCTTAAATTATTTCTGGATTACTCCGCCACCACACAACCTTGGAGGGTTCAAGCTAGGCAAGCACAAAAGAAAATAATTAAATCTAGGAGAGAGCGCCTAGCAATAACTCACCCTACAATAACTCAGACAAATTTGAACATAAAGCATCCGTTATTACACGGGCGGTCATTTTTGGGAGGGCTTGCTTTTATGTGAAACGTCTAAATCTTCTTTTGTACATGTTGGCCTTAACCTGGTATAGTAGCATAGGTATACATATTGTTGTATACTTGTTATACTGTATATAGGAGTACAAAGTGCACAGTTTTACTTTAAATCTTTAATTTAATTGTATATTTTATGAACATTTTAATTTGCCTTCCTATGTTAATACAATTATTAATTTGTGTGCATTCAAAATGGAGAAAATGTCACCAAACATATATACATTGTAACACTAGGTGAACAGTTGGTCTTCAACTGCTTACATTTATATACATACTTTTCAATTAGATTTTATTGGACATTTTACTTTCATTTTCTATGTCTAAATAAATATCTTAAAAATAATAATAAATATACAATTTATTTGATTAAGTTATTTTTTGTGCACATTCTTATTTATTTATATAGATTTGTATTATTTCATTCTTAAATGGAGAAAATGTCACACAACCCACTTTCCTTCAGGATATATAAAGTAGGCTTTTTATTATTCTGACAAGACTGTATAATATATATATAAAATATGGACAAAGTCTCAGTGTCAAAGCCTAATAATGTGTGACTTTAAGCTTTACGAGGGGTGTGTTTTATCAAAGGTTACAGTTGTCATGAATTGAATAATTCACGTCAGAATCTTTCCATACGATGTTTTCCATCCAGGCAGCTTGTTGCCTTTTAAACATCCTAACCCTAAGAGGTGGGATCTGGATTGTGACTACAGTATGATATCTTTAAATTAAATTAACCCTTTTTCAATTTTCTCCACCTACAGACGAGGACTGAATCCCCCCCACAGAGTCAAGTCCATCTCCATGACAACTTTTACACAACAGGAAATCGAGTACTTACAGAAACACGGCAATGAGGTAAAGCGTGATGGTGATTGAACTGCCTGTTAAAGTTTTTATGATTGAGGTCAGCTCTCCTGCTGCTTTTGAGGGTATGCAAATCATCACAATCATGCTAGTGTCTTGTCTATCTAATAGGGATGTAACGATATATCGAATATCGTGATAAATAGATCTCTCAATACCATCGTATTTATATAAAAAAATTAAAAGTTTTAATTTCTTTTTTTTTTAAACCTTTATTTAACCAGACGGTCCCATTTGAGATCATTGATGTCTTTTTCAAGGAAGACCTGTCCAACATGGTTACAACATGAACATAAAACAACAGATAACACAAAAGGACATCGTATTTACAGGACTACATGTACATACCTAGACATAGACAAGTGTTTATGTTTATATCTCGCCCTGTCAATAAGCCTCACCTTCTTGGCAAAAACTGTATTGTTTTTGAAGTGGTGGAGAGACAATGCACAGTTTGACCCACTGCTGTCACCCATGGCCAAAGCATATCTCTCTGTCCAAGCAACATCAGTACCAAGCAAGAGAGTTTTTTCCACAGCAGGGGATATTGTAAACGCCCAAACATCCCAGCTTCTACCTGGAAATGTGGACATGCTCATATTCCTAAAAGATAACCTTGATGATGCTGAGTGAGTGAGTTAGAGTTGAGTTACTTGAAAAACTAAAGTGAAACTTTATTTATTCTATTGCAAGGTCTGATTATTAAATTGTTGACACTTTAAAATACTACTATCCTACTAAGATGCTGTACAAATCAGATTTATTATTTAATAAAGAAATAAAAAAAATAAAAACATTTTTTTCCTTTATTTTTCAATATCGCGATAAATATCGTACCGTGGACTTTTTATCGCGATATTATCGTACCGTGAGTTTTTGGTATCGTTACATCCCTACTATCTAAAGCTGTTTAATCAATGTTTTATATAGTAACCTTTAGTCTAGTTTCCCCGCAGCGAGTTGTGATAAAACCCTGCAGCTCTATTCAGACATTTAGTTTTCTGGGTTTGATTTAAAAGCTGCTTGGTTGAGCTTCACAGTCCTCATCAACCTTGTGTTCGCCAGCATCAGACACCGGTTTCAGTTCATATTCATTGTATACTACTAGGGCTGCATGATACTGGAAAAAACTGATATTGCAATATTTTTCCCCCCTGCGATATATATAATACAGGAATTAAAGAAAAGACAGTTTTTTTTTTTTGTCCGCAAACCATCCTTTCTTGAACTTTAATGCTATACAATTGATTTTTTTTTACGATATTTAACCGGATAAAGGATTTTAGTCACGGACGTCTGGATCTTAAGTTATCAGAGCAACAAGCTGAGCTAGCTCAGTTAGCAGCGACGAACTGAGAAACACATGCAACTACTTTATTCAGTGTTTTTACCTTTTAATCACCGGGTCCGTTTGCTTTAGAGATTTGATTGTGATTTGCTGTGCATGCAGAGCCTGCATGTCACTCACTCAAGTACCCCTGACATGAGAGCCGCGCGAGTTTTCCTTTTGTAGCAAGCAGCAAAATAATTGTAACAGGACGTGTTTGAGTTAATTTGTCTACTTAGTGTCGCACGTCGTAAAAATTAGATATATGTGAATATCACGCATGCACATATCGCGATTATCGTCACGACACGATATATCGTGCAGCCCTATATACTACCTGTCCAACTCAAACAAGAATACAAATAATAATAATACCGACTGAAATGCATAATTTTTTATATAGCGCTTTTCCCAGTGCTCAAAGACGGTTTAAAAGGAATCAGAAAAGAACCACAAAAATAAAAGTCCTAATCCAAGTGAAAGAAGAAATGCGATGACGATTTAGAGATTGAAAGAAAAGTAGAATTGAAGTAAAGAAAGTTATCAACAAGCTGGGGAAGAAAGCCAAACAAGACCCAGATACTTTCTCTGGGATTACAGAAGGTCTGGAGAACTGGATGGTCGGTGAATTTCGTTTTTCACACTTTCATCAGACCGAGAAACTCACAAGGATTATTAGTTGCTCTGTGTCTGTTGGATTAAAAGTAGTCCATTGCTTGCTCACATATTTCAGTTTTTAATTTCCCCCTTGCTATTAAAAGGGGCATTGAATTCCAATGACCTACTTGAGTTAATTACCCCAACATTAAATGCATAAAATGAATACATACTTAGTAGAGTAGCAAACACAAATGTGTTCTCCACAGAGAAGCCCAAGTGCATTCTCATTCACGGGTCACTTCTGGTAAATGGGGTATAAAATTAGAGCGACGCCACCTGGGGAGAACAAACTATTAAAAGCTGCGGCAGAGGCATGGCAGGAGACTCAAGGTTGGAGCTGATGCATACGTCCTTTATGTCGGCTATATAAATATTACCGCCCTCAAATTGCCTTTTGCCTCCTCAGGGCGCGCTTGACACATGGCTTTTGTATTTTTCAGCATTTGCACATTTTACTAATTAAAAAATCTAAGCTGGCCTGTTCAGCAAATCCAGCTAAAGAAATAACAGCAGCAGCAGCAGCAGCAGCAGAAGCTTATATACAACATAAGAGTCACACTTCCTTGTAGCACCATAGCTTCATTTACAATGCAGCAGCCTATACTGAAGGCACACACGCATGAAGCTTATAAATCTGTCTTTAGAGGATTAGGCAAATACTTTAGGAATGCTTTCAAAAACCCAAAGGCCAGAGAAAGGTTAAACTTGGACAGATTTTGCATATCAGAGCTGTGTCGAGCCTGTGTTTCCAAAAATGAGGCCAAGAAGTTTGTTCGTGCCGGCACTACATAAACACTCCTGAAACACGCTGTAATGGACCACCTTATCTGATTTGCACAGTCAAATTTGGAAATATAAATGAATGCTCTTCTCAAATCAACCTGCGCTAACGGTGGAGTCAGCGATTCTAATCAAATGCAGCCGTTGTCAAGTTCAGTAAGATATTTCTTCATGGACTGTTGCCCGTCTGTAAAACATGTGTTGTCCATACTTAGCCCTGGCTCTAAAAGAGAAACGTGCAGAGCCACACAACACTATTCCAAAAATCTAGCGAAAATGAAGGCTATTAAAAAGTATTAAACGGCATTTTCCAAGGTATTACATTTTGTAGCTTGTTTCCAATAAGTATATGAATGGTCCAAAGAGGTTGTATTCTACAGTCTGCCTGAATGTAATCATTGCGTAGGTGTGTAGTGTGATTCTGTGTAGTTTATTTATGGCATCCCGTTGGATTTGACGTCATCTGAACAGGACATCGCGCGCTCACTGCTTGATAGCGCGCGAAGCTCCGTTTACGCCGGTTGCTAAGAAACATCGTTATGGGGAAATGCAAGTCTGCGTCCAAATGGTTGGAAGATAAGGAGGAAGGACAATCAATACTGTATATAGTCAATGTGAGGTAAAGTGTGTCGCCAAGGTAACCGGTTAAAACTCGAAGTGGCGATGAGGTTTTAAAATGTATGGAAAGGGTCTTAAAAAAGGTCTTAAAAGGAATTACCTTTGGATTCCTGCATATACCCTGGGTAAACATTACTATGCAACATTACTGGAGGTAATTTCTTTAAATTGAGCAAAACATCTTGGAAAAATGGTGGTTTTCAAAGTTCACTGTGACTTCACAAAACACATTTTTTGTCATAATTAAAGAATTCATATCTTATTTATGACAACTCATACAAATGTCTACGAGGACGGACATGGATATGTTGAGCTGGGGCGGGATTTCTAGTCTAGTTCAAATTAAACTTAACATCTTTTGGGTATCGGACTGAAAAAAAAGCCACATTTTAAAAACACCATTTGTTTTTATGTTGGACATTTTATCGAACACACGACTCATAGGTTAGTCTAATAGTTAGCAGAACTAATCATTAATGGAAATATATGTTAACTGCAGCCCTGGTCTATGGATGATTAACTGTATAATCTCTGTTTACCCGTAGCATATCTTTTAAATTCCTTCTCTCACTAACCATTCAATGCTTAAATATGAATGTTGACACATGTATTTCTCCGTCTCATCTCTTCTGCTACCTTGTGTGTTTTCCAGGTCTGTAAACGGATCTGGCTCAGCCTCTATGATGACAGAACCACCTCAGTACCAGACTTCAGAGAACCGCAGAAGGTCAAGGAGTTTCTTCAAGAGAAATACGAGAAAAAGAGATGGTAAGTGAGTTTTACAATCTGGCAGTGTGAGATATGAACGATCCTCTGGCACCGCGCTGACACGTTAGCTCTTCTTTGTCTCACAGGCAGCTCGTAGCATTTAGCCTCCAGCTATCCACCAGATAGCCCAATGTAGGTCACTACAGTCAAGATGCTTCATGTGTAAGATCTTGTTGTTCAGTGTTATGATTGTGCTTCAACATTTAAGAAGTTTAGTACAGTTGTGACTGTGTATGGCCTAAAGGGAGTCAAACAAGTGCCTGTTAAATGCACATGAGGGATTACTCATCAAAGTAAATATTTCCTAAGTGACTGTTGGTTTCAGCAATTAGACTGTTCCAATATACATAAGATTATTACACCCATTGGTTAAGGCAGTTCTGCTTCTGTGGGCTCTGACTGTTCATTCTCTGACGTTAGAGTAAAGAGCAGGGCATGTCTCAACGTGACACCATTTGGCTTTTTTTTACTTTTCACACAGACCGTTCCCCTGAAACACCGACCTGTCTGCTAGCTGTAAATCACATTTCCAACCAAATGAGCCTTTCCTGTTTTCACATTTGGATTTGCAAAATGCTTAACAAGACTGTACACAGCCTTATTTTTGGAAACCCTCGATCATGTCACATCTTGTTATTCCGTCAGGCATTAGCCAGCTTCCTGTAGTGTAGTCAAGCTTGGTGAGTAACGGATGACATGCAACGGGAATACATCATCAGGATGCAAAACCAGTAGCATACATAACAATTGTTTAAATGGGATTACTGTTACACGTCTACAAATTGGCGATTACTAGCAGGTGTTAAAAAAGCAAACACATATCCTTTGTGTAAAAGGATCAGATGATATCTCTTCTCCGTGAGCTGTACTGTTCTGTAGGATAATACTTTAAAGTGTGAATCTACGCCTACTGCCTGAATCTGCTTTATGGTTTTCACTTTCTTTGGTTCCTTTGTTCTGTTTTTAATTCAGTAGGTGAACCTATATGTTCATAAAATAGTGTTTGAGCTTAACTGTGTATTAAACTAACAATGAGCATTTTCTCTCAGATCAGATTTCACTTCTGCTTTTTAAAACTGTAGTGTGTGCTCATGTGTTTCATTGTTATTGTATAGGCTGCTGCTTCATGACACATGTGTGGTCCTAAAGATGTTGGTTTCCTCTTTTCTAAGGTCACATTGTTCTGTGGTTTTACATAAGAATATTAAGTCAAATTCATCTTGATGATATTGCATTTGAAACTGACAAAATCCAAAAGTTACACAAAGTAATCGGGTTACATTTATTTTCTATTTAAATACTCAGATGACTGATTACATGTTTTTACAGCTAACTAGTAACTGTGACAGAATGCATTTTTAAAGTATCCCTCCCACCCTTTCCCCAGGCACGTTCCTCCAGAGCAGGCGAAGCCCGCGGCCCCCGTCCACGCTTCCATCTCCGGCTCCTCCAACAACAGCAGCACCAGCAGCACCCCCGAGGTCAGACCCCTCAAATCCCTGCTGGGGGAGTCTGCCCCCTCCCTGCACCTCAACAAGAACACCCCCCCTAACCAGGTGAGATTCGTGTGGCGTACATACGATATTACTTTAATGGTCAGATCAAGACTGAAATTTGACTTGGATCACAGCAGCTCCATGTGTAACATCAACATAGACAAATATCACGACACGATACATAACAAACAACAACAAACATTTAACATCACAACACAATCACTGAGAGAAAACATGCTCAAAGGGCCTTTAGTGTGCATTTGGTCTGGGATGCAGCTCTGTATTTACTGTGAGGATTGACTGGAGCACAAAGGATGCTTCAGTCTGACTTTATTGAATCGCGGGACCCTGTATCTCCGATTTAGATGGATTTGTTACTGCTGTCAGAAACCCATGAAGGGCTGGTAACATTTGATAAATGTACTTAAAACAACTTGAGTATTTAAATGTACTTAAAACAACTTGAGTATTTAAATGTACTTAAAACAACTTGAGTATTTAAAAGTACTTAAAACAACTTGAGTATTTGAATTCCTTAAAGGGTTGTATTGTTACCAATGTCTTAGTCTACCCACTGACACTGATTTCATCTTTCCTTGCTATTTATATGAATACTTAGACATTCAAAACATAATGACAGACACACTTGTAATTGTGAATTTTAATATTCAAAGTTTATTTTTGTATTAATATTTGTATGCATGCTTCTTTGTAACATTAAGCTGTCTTTGGCTCTTTTCTGCTGTAACAATGTGCATTTCCCCTCTCTGGGACTAATAAAGGTATTCTGATTCTCTTTAGTCGAGTGAAGGTTGTTCAATTACAACTTTATTCACACTGACAAACATATACATATTTTCTAACTCCATGTCTTGTCTGCCCCAGTCTCCAGTGGTGAGCCGTGGACAGAGCCAGCAGCAGCAGCAGCCGTTCCATGACAAGAGGTTCGACCTCCTCAGTGAACTGGGAGGAGACATCTTCGCTGCCCCGCCCAACATGAATGCCGGAGCCAGCTCCAGTTTTGCTAACTTTGCACATTTCAACAGCCACACAAGTAAGGAACAGACCACGCATACATCTGTAACGGGGTGCTGGAGTTGAGCAATAATTTAGGGTTGGGTGTGCCTTTTTTAAATGTGGAAGTTGTGTCTTGTCACATTAGGCCCCATTGTGCTTTTTGGCACTTTTCCTTTCCTGTGGTTTTTGTGCATGAAAAGGAACGGGAGCTTTCTAAACGGTTGACCAATCACAACAGAGCCGGACCGCTAACCAATCAGAACAGACTGGGCTCTGGTTTCAGACATTTCAAATGCTTAAGGGGATTAAATAGACACTGATCCATCGCCTCTTATAGTCTCTGGCAGATGTTTGAGATGCAGAAACTGGAACATTTCACAATCACTAACTACATTATCGAATAGTCTATGGACAGGCACATCTCCATGGTAACTAATGCCTGTACCTAGAGATATTGGTGTTTGCTTCTGTTGGAGGATAATGTCCTCTCATCCCAATAAAAGAGCCATACAGACTCATCCGTAATGCTGCGACAAAAGTGGATCTCCACAAAGCAAGCACAACTGTACATCTGTGTTTAGTGCTACACACACACATTTAGAGTTATAGGGTCTGCAGAGTGAATCAAATGAGAGGTGGTGAACATCCGACTATCTTTCCCGCCTCTTAAGCCGCATTTCATTGTCATGTGACACCACTCTATGATTTGTCTTTCACATCAGCTCTTAGTCCATTATATTTGCAGTCTGTCATCCATGCCATTTGTCATTATATGTATAAATCCATTCTGTCATCCATTGTTTTCCTCTCATTGTGTTTTTTGTTTTTGTTCATCTGTGTGTCTGAACCTCATCCTGACTCCACCTCAGCTGCACAGAGTGCCAACGCAAATGCAAACTTTGCTAATTTTGATGCGTTCGGGAGCACCTCTGGGTCCTCAGGTGGCTTCCCCTCAGCACCTCAAGCCCAATTCCAACCCTCAAATACAGGTAGAGCAAGCTCCCTTCACCGGACACATTGCACACATCCAAACCACTCTTACAATAAGACATTCGCTTGTGTTATGAAACGCATGCATGTATTTGAGAATATAGATCTAGGCTCAACACAAGGCCATGTTTTCTGTCATTTCATGTCATGTTTCCATCTGTGTTTTACTTGTTGTGATGCATACCATCTGCTCCCCTAACCTTTCCATACTCTGTGCTGTTCATTCATCTGGTGTCACACTCACATGTTAAAGTGTTCTGAGCACTCCACTGCAGACAGATTAGAAGCATTTGCTCCAAGCACCACTTTTAGCATATCGCTATTTTGACCTACTTTTAAAAAAAGAAAAAAAAGCTGCATTTTACATTTGATACACGCTAGGTTATTTCTAGTTACTCATTTGTGTGAAATGTCAACAACAAATCTATTTTTATGAGGCAAGAATCTGTTGTTCTCCAGAGTTTTGAACTACTACCCTTTAAAACTGAATGTTGGACAATCAGACAAACATATTACAGGAGCAATTTGGAGTGAAGTGTCTCAGGGACACAACGACATGCTGACTGCAGTGGGGTTTGAACCTGTGACCCCCTGATC